AAATTTTTTATGATCTTAATTCAAATTATCAAGATAAAAATTATCTTAAAGATAGAGTAATTCTTACAACAAAAAATGTAGATATAAAAAAAATCAATTAACAAATACTTGAACTCATTCCTGACAAATCATTTAAATTTCTATCTGCTAATTCAATTGAAGATAAAGAAACTGTTTACACAAGTCTTTATCCTCCAAAATTTTTAAATACTCTTATACCAAGTGGAATGTCTTCTTATAAATTAATACTTAAAAAGAATATTCCTGTTATATTATTACATAATCTTAATCTATCTGAGAAATTATATAATGATACTAGATTAATAATTAAAGGATGTCAACAATATTTAATTGATGCAGAAATATTAATAGGAATTAATCAAGGAAAAAGAGTTTTTATATCTGAGCAAGATTAACATTAACAGATACTGATCTTTCATTTCAATTAATAAAAAGACAATTTCCAATTAAATTATCTTTTGCAATAACTATAAACAAAGCTCAAGGTTAAACAATTATAAATATGGGATTATATTTACCCAAGCCTGTTTTTATTTATGGACAATTATATGTAGCTTTATCCAGAGTTCAATCAAAAAATAATATTAAAATTTTGGTTAAAAATGAACATGTTGATGGAAAAGAAGGGATATATACCAAAAATATTGTATATAGAGAAATATTTTACAAATAATTAAATTTATAGTATTTTACTTTAATTATTTTTTATATTATAATAATAAATAATTTGTAATAATTTGTTATGTTATATTAATAAAAAATTTTTAAAAAATTAAAAAATTTTGATTTTATTAAATTAAACATATATATTAATATTAAAAATTAATAAAATAAATAAATTTAAGAATTCTAAATAAATTTTTTTAAATGTTTTATAAAAAAACTTGATTTTTTTTATTTTTTTAAGATTTTTTTTTTTCAAGATTTAAAAAATTTGAAATTTGAAATTTTATTTTATAACATTTAAATAAAATTTAAACATTTTTTAATTTTTATTATTATTATTTTAAAAACAATTTATATCTATTTTTTATTTTTATAAAATAATTTAAATATTTTTTAGGTTTTAAATTTTTAAAGAGTTTTGTTTTTTTAATTAAAATATTAATTTTTATTGAAATAAATAAATAAATTATTTTAATATTAAATTTTTTAATTAATTTAATACAGCTAATATTATTACTTTATAAATTATTATATTTATTTATATTAAAAAAACTTGCTTTCTATCAATATAATATTATATTTTATTTTTTATATATTTTAATATATAAAATACACTAGCATTTTTAATCCCGGAGCATAGCCCGGGCTAACACGCTAGTATAAGAATATGTTATTTTTTATCAAATTAGAATGTTAGGCTTATATAATCACTGAACAGTCTTGGAAAGTTTTTTATTAAATATTAATTCGTTTTAAATCAAAAGTCATGGAACTTTGGATTTTTACTGAAGAAAAATTAATAGCACGGATAAGTTTAAACTTCGTTAATTATTTAATTCATATTGTAAGCTTGTCCTCTTGTTTTGTTGATTTATTTATGTTTACACCGCTACCCCTGTGCGAAGCGTTCTTCCCGTGGTTTTTTGGATTTATTGGAATGTTTCGATCAGTAGATTTACTATCCAAAGCTCTAACCCTCTGCTCTAACCTACTTAACACCCGAATATCTTTGGTGGTCGTTCGGTGACGTTTTCGAGGTATTTTAAGAGTCTGAAGAGATTCATGGATGGCGTTCTCACATTGTAGCTTCAATTCACGTGCTTTGTCAACATCGATGAATGTTTCTTGAAACCGGTAACTAAATTTAAGTTAAACGAAATTCCAACGATTATTTACATATATAAATTTTACGCTAAAAGATACATTAAAAATTGTATCATATGTACCTTAACCATAAATATAACATAAGTGTTCTGTGAATTGATTCCATCTCACTAAGCATTTCGTCGTTATGGGGAAGTTTGGCAGGAATCTTCACAACATCGGCAATACGACAGGGTCTACTTTGACTGTGCAGCAACGCGAACTAAAAATAATGTAATAAAAAGCAATATCAATGTTAACAATAATACTTATAGTGCAAGAAATACTGCATAAATAATGTCTAATTAAAATTTCATTTCACCAGATGGCCTAAAATCATGTACCTTTTGAATGTTCTTCATTAGACGTATGTCAGAAGTGTTTACGGGCCCAGTAACAAAGCTAAATCTCTCAGGAATAGTCATTTGTATATGTTCTATTGAATTTGCAATAAGCTTTGTAAAGAAATAAAATGATTAAGAGATAAATAATTAACATCGGAAAAGTCATCATATTCCAAAATATCAGACTACCTTTTGAGTATAAAAGTTACATAAAAAATATTGACCATCGACTCGAGCTAAATCTTCAAATTTTTCCTAATTCAATATATAGTACGTTATTCGATGACACCTGGAATATAAAAAAGAAAAGGAAGAGTGATAATAAACTTACCAAAAGTGATGAAAACTCTTTTGTACCAGGCAGTTGATGCGCAAAGAGTTCAACCATTTCCATGGTTGGCTGCAGTCCAGCCATCTAACAAGTGATAAATGAAAGGGGTAAATTTCAAAATTCAAATATGTCAATGTGAGCTATGATATATATTACCTCTAGATTCTTTGTTGGTGAGGCCATTGCTTGACGTACGTACTTTAAATCCATGGGCTCCAGTCTATGAATGTATAAATGATTATGAAAAATGGAATTATTTGAAATTATTGAATTATCGAGGTATGCTTACGCAGTCACTTCTCCAACAGCATTCACGGTACCAAACCGACCAGCTCGGCCAGCAATTTGCTTGATTTGGGGAATAGGAACGTGTCTTATGCCTATGCCATCAAACTTTTTAACAGTTTCAAACACTACTCGTTTAATGTTTCTAGAAATTTATAAAGATGTTTATTAGACATAATCACTCTTTGACTAAAAAACGAATCGTTAATTCCCTACAAATTCAGTCCCATTCCAACTGCGTCGCTCGCAACCAACACATCAAAACTGCTATCAGGATCATTAAACAACTTCGCCTGTTGTGATCTTGTCTCTGAAAATAGAGCGTAATGTATGAGAAAAGGTGGCAGGAAATGTAGAGTGACAGATAGATGCATAGAATGTATCACATACCTGGCGGCAGGCCACCATAAGCAACAGCACA